CTGGGTGTCCTCGGTGTACCGCCCTTCTCGGGACAGCCTGACCATGGTGGTCACGATTCCGAACTCGATCTTGACCTCTCTCACCTGGTGGCTGGATCACAAGGCGGTTTGTGCAGGAGTGCCGTTTCACGCCCACAACCCTCCCTGCACCTGTTCACGGACGCCTCATCTCTAGGTTGGGGCGCTCACCTCGGGTAACACCATACCCAAGGCCTGTGGACCGCATACCAACTAGCTCTGCACATCAATGTTCGAGAGCTGATGGCGGTGCGCCTAGCATGTCAGGCATTTCTCGGTCTCCTGCATGGCCGCTGCGTGTTAGTCCTCACAGACAACACCACGGCCATGTTCTACATCAGCAAGCAAGGAGGAGCCCGGTCGTCTCCCCTATGCCAAGAGGCGATTCGCCTGTGGGAGTTCTGCATTGCCCACTCGATACATCTTATGGCATCGTTCCTCCCTGGAGTCCAGAACACTCTGGCGGACCGTCTCAACAGATCCTTCCAGACGCACGAGTGGTCGATTCATCCGGACATCATCTATTCCATCTTCCAGAGGTGGGGATTTCCCCAGGTAGACCTTTTCGCATCACGAGCCAACAGGAAGTGCCACGTGTTCTGCTCCCTACAAGGGCGATCTCCGGGCTCCCTGTCGGACGCTTTCCTTCTAACGTGGAAAGACCAGCTGTTCTACGCTTTCCCTCCATTCCCACTGGTCCACAGGGTACTGCTCAAACTACGCAGAGACCAGGCACGTGTGATTCTAGTCGCTCCAGCTTGGCCAAGATAGCACTGGTACACCACGCTTCTGGAGCTATCAGTTCAAACTCGGTTGTGCCCAGACTTGATCTCCCAGGACCACGGCCGACTGTGTCACCCCGACCTGCAATCGCTCCACCTTACAGCGTGGATGCTCCATGGCTGAATCAGACAGAGCTACAATGCTCACATCCCATGCAACAGATTCTAATGGGAAGTAGAAAGCCCTCTACACGGACCACTTACTTAGCCAATTGGAAGCGGTTCTCCTGTTGGTGCGACCAGCGGGCCACGCCCCCCTTGCAGGCGTCCGTTCCTCTTATAGTCAAGTATCTCCTGTCCTTGAGACATCAGGGCTTGGCGATATCTTCAGTCAGGGTTCACCTGGCCGCTATATCGGCGTTCCACCCAGGAGAACACGCTTCCTCGGTCTTCTCTAACCCGATGGTTGTCAGATTCCTCAAGGGCTTAGACCGCCTTTACCCACAGCAACGCCAACCCGTTCCGGCGTGGGATCTTAATCTGGTTCTCTCCAAGCTCACAGGACCCCCATTCGAGCCATTGGCTAACTGCTCACTCCTTTACCTATCTTGGAAGACAGTCTTCCTTGTAGCCATCACTTCAGCAAGGCGTGTTTCTGAACTCAAGGCCCTCACATCTGAGCCTCCGTACACAGTCTTCCATAAAGACAAGGTACAGCTTTGCCCCCACCCTGCCTTCCTTCCCAAGGTTGTATCAGCTTTTCATGTGAACCAGGATATATTCCTCCCGGTCTTCCATCCTAAGCCACACGCCACGCGCCAAGACCAGTGTATGCACTCCTTGGACGTGCGCAGGGCCCTTGCTTTCTATATTGAGCGTACGAAACCATTTCGAAAGACGACGCAACTCTTCGTTGCAATAGCCGACCGGCTGAAAGGCCTACCAGTCTCCTCCCAACGTCTCTCCTCTTGGATCACGTCCTGCATTCGTGCTTGCTACGACCTGGCTGGTGTCCCAGCGCCACGCCTCACCACCCACTCCACGAGGGCCCAAGCCTCCTCGACTGCCTTCCTGGCTCAAGTCTCGATCCAGGACATTTGTAGAGCTGCAGTTTGGTCATCAGTCCACACCTTCGCCGCTCACTATGCGTTGGTACAGCAGTCCAGAGATGATGCTGCATTCGGTTCAGCGGTTTTGCACACAGCGATGTCTCACTCCGACCCCACCGCCTAGGTAAAGCTTGGTAGTCACCTAATTGGAATCGATATGAGCAAGCACTCGAAGAAGAAAAAAATGGTTACTCACCTTTGTAACTGTTCTTCGAGATATGTTGCTCATATCCATTCCAAACTCGCCCCCTTCCCCACTGTCGGAGTAGCCGGCAAGAAGGAACTGAGGGGGCGCTGGGTCGGCTGGGGTATATATCCAGCGCCATGAAGACGCCACTCCAGGGGGCTCCACAGCCGACCCACCGGGTGTTGCTAGGGTAGAAAATTTATCCGACGATCATGCACGCGGCGCGCACACACCTAATTGGAATGGATATGAGCAACACATCTCGAAGAACAACAGTTACAAAGGTGAGTAACTGTTTTTTTTACCTAGTCTGTAGCAGCTATAAAGAAATCTCCCAAGAGGCTATTATCTCAACTTTTCAAAAGTTAACAAGGGAAGGTAAATAAGGTTAACGATTTTAAACAAATTACTGTACAACGATTACTTCTCTGGGTTCCAGTTAAACCTAAATCATTGTATTATGCAAAAGAGTAATATAATCTTAATTGTATGTATGATTGCAATTCTATAGTCATCTTAAGTGGTGACAGTAAAGCTTATCAATTTGTTAATGTAAATGGATATGGCATTTGTGTATTTATCTTCCCACCCGGAATGCTCCAGGGACAAGAAAGCTCAAAATAACACCACACTTAGGTTCAATTAATTTAGGACAGTGATTATGTTAATCCTGCTGGCTCCTTCAGCAGGAAGGACCAGAGGACAAAAGCACAAATGAAATAGGTAGTCTCCATACACCCACAGCTCAAGAAGTGAGCAAGCCATGTATACCATATTTTTGTCCTCCTCCTGCAGGAATGCATTACTCAAATACTCAGGTACAAGAGATATGCCCTTTCAGGGATCAGGACTATGTCAATAGCATACAAGAGAAATAATATTACAAGGATTGGGGATCTGAGACACCAAAGAAATGACAAATAAAACAAACACCAAATTTATGCCCCTCACATATACCCCCAACCCCAGTCCTGATGGGATTGAGGCAACCCAAGACAAAAAGACGCATCCTCAGGATGGAACAGACACTTAGTGCATAGCCATACATACAAACCAGGCATCACCCTGCAGCCATGGTAAGGAGGACAGGATTATATGATAGAGTTGCCTGCAATAGCAGGGGACTGGACTTGATGAGTCAATAGGACCCTTCCAGTCTTATGTCCTAGGGATCAAGGAACATAACCTCAGGCTCATGAACACAAGATTGGTTAAAAACAAAGTCCGCATTACATATGACCTGATTGTTGAGGAGGCAACTGACCTGGCCTACCTCACTGAAACCTGGGTTGAAGACATTGTCAGATGCATTCTGGTACAACTCATTCCAGCAGGATATACAACACACCATGGGTGAAATCCTCATTCCACTGAGGTCAATGGGAGTTTTGCTGTTGACTTCAGTGGGACCAGGATTCCACCCCATGAGTCCAAAGTTTGGTAGGAAGGATGGCTATCAGATAACCCAACCAAACCCAGATGGAAATGAGATCTTAACCCAGAGACCAAGTTATTCAGATGCACCCAGATGACACAGAACTCCAGGAAACAGAACCAATATAGACATTCTAGCAATATACAGACCACTCAAGAGCTCTGCAAGCTTCCTCTCAGAGCTAATCTCAAACCAAGACATCAAAATTTGTCTTGTGAGACTTCACACTTATGGAGTACAGTTCTGTCTCAGTGGAATACACTACACAAGCCAGAAGCATGACCAGTGTGCTAAGGGACTAGTCAGACACTTTCTAACAACAACCTCAAAACAACCCCTCCCTCTGTACCACCCCCAGAGATATATACTGTTAACCAATGATCAATCAGCACCAGATAAAGCAGAGACAAGAACTGGTAGCCTGGAACATACAGTGTTTATAAACACCAACATTATAAAGGAAACCAATATCTAAAATGTCTGATCAACATAACTGTTCTTGATAGCGGAACTCCTGACCAGCCCAGACTGTCTTTTCCTTTACCTTGCACCTGAACATCTCCCACTGTGAGGAACTGCCATAACACTTTGCTGAAAATATTAATAAAATCTATAAAGGTGGCAGGAGCAGCAGAGATAGAACAGACCCTGGTAATGGTAAATGAACACCTGAGATCATGTCTAAGGAAGGGCAATTTACCAGTGGCTTGGAATCATGGCTAATACTAAAAAAACCCCAAAAAACAGAAGGACCCAAACAATTTTGCTAGTTATGACCTAGTCTCAAATGTTCCTTTCCTGAACAAGGACACTGAGATGATAGTGGTAGATCATCTCCAGCAATCTCCAGCAGAATCCACCTTCTGCCAATATGCTGGCTACCAGATTTGGCCAATGCAAAGCCAGAACAACAGTCACCCTAGTGAATGATCTCCTTGTAAAATCTGCTGCCTTCAATAAGAGTTGGCCACAAGTGTATTCCACTTGTGCCATCTAGCAGGCATCAGTGGATTGCCCTCAGATAATTCTATCCATTTCTCTAATAAAGGCTGTGATGGGCAGCTGCTCCTCACAGAGAGTCCTCCTCCAAAATCAGGTCATATGTAATGCAGTTTCCACCTACAGGGCTTGTTTATTTCCCTTCTCCTATTCAACATCTATGGTAAAACATAAGAAGAAACTTTAAAATGCTGTGGGTTCAAACAACAACATTCAGATGTTACAAAGCTATAAACATCATTTCTATCTGGAGTAGAGAACACCATAATTCACCTAGCCGAACATCTGGAAAAAATAAACGTGTGGGTGAATAACTGTTGGCTCAAACTCTGACAGTGAAGCCAACAGGAGTCTAACTTTAGGCACCCATTTTTGAAAAATCTTGTCCTCAACGTTTATTATGCTCTCACTAGCAAGTACAAAGAGAAAATGAAGTGAAAAGAGAGATTATCTAACTAAAATTAGAGATTTATGAAGCCAGAATGAACCAGCATAGCTGATGCATGCTCCAAATCCAAATTTATACTTACACTTGTCCCTTAAGAGCATTGAGGAAAGCTTCAACTTTGTAGTCTGGCATCTCACCATCTATACTGGCCAGGTATGTGTAAATAAATGAGAATGTATCAAATGGAATGCGAGCAGGTCCCCCCTCTGGATCAGTTGTTAGAATTTCACAGGCATACTTCACAGAAGTCATTAAGGACTAGCAGGATCCCAACCAAGAAAAGAGAGACATAATACCAGAAGGCATTAGCATCCTTTGTTCACTATGGTGTAATATCGCATGAAAGACTGTCAGCTTCTGAAATTCAGTGTGAATAGAACCAAGACTTCAAACTTTGCAAGTGTAAATGTACCTGCAATTCACACTCCAATGCAGGCAGCTCCACTGGTGATAACGGTGGTGGAAGCTGTAGTGTAGACAGGGCTCAGGCATTTTTATTATTGTGGCATCTCATTTGGTTTAAGACTACAGAGTGGTAAAAATGCCTGAGCCCTTTTCACACTACTGCCTCCACCAACATTAGCAGCGGTAAAGCTGCACTATTGGTGAATTAAGGCTAAAAATTTTGTTAGTATAGAAAAGGCCTTAGTGTAATTCTGTTACTCTTTTAATCAATGCAAAAGAGAAAGGTAGCGTATCATTGAGCAATTAATTGCATCATGTTAGTCTGAACAGACATCAGTCCACTGCCATATTTACAAATACATCACCAGGTAAAGAATGGTCCCTAATTTGTTACCATATAAAGGCCTCAGTTCACCTGTGAACTATCATTTCAATTTATCTGAACCTGGCCCTAGTGAGGGCAGCACTAAATTGGCTAAGATAGCTAAATCTCAATAAAGCTGGGGGGGGGGAAGTTTGTCTGGATCAATGTTGTGGCAGCTGATATTTTGGCATGATGCTGTGAATGTCAGCATTCACAATAACCAAACAATATCCAATCCTGGAAAATATCCTTTTGGATACATCTAAACCAGTGGTTCCCAACCTATTTACCACATTGTGGGCTGCATATGTGGCCCATAATATGTTATGTGGGCCACATCCAATACTACCTGTATGGCCCTACGGATGTCACATGGGCCATAGCTCTGTGCTGATTGGGCCAGCCACAGGTTGAGAATCACTGGGCTACACATTCTGTGGCTGCAATCCTCCCAGCCTGAGTCAAGAGACACGGGCCTGCAGGGCTCACACTAGCGTTCTAATAATAGCTGTGTAGACAGCACTTCAAAGTTGCAGTTCAGGCTGGAGCTCGGGCTCTGAAGCTTAGGGATGGGAATGGACTTCAGAGCCCAAATTAAAACTTCAAAGAGCTGTCTACATGGCGATTTTTAGTGTGTTAGTGCAAGCTCCTCATGCCCAAGTCTGTCATCTCAAACTGGGAGGCTCACTGCCACAGGCTATCTAAATATATCCTAAATGGAGTAAACTTAAACTGAAGTTAAGGATGTCAATAATTTAAGGCAGAAAAATCTTAAGAATGTTGCAGTTAAAAAAATCCACCAAAACCCCAGAAAATTCAGAGTTAAGATTACATTTTAAAAAAACAACATAACCCCAAGTGTTAGTTAAGGATATACTTAAAAAAAAAAATCCTGTAACTTCAATGGGACTCTCACAGATACCGTAATCTGAACTAGTGGATACTAGTGCTGGATCAATGCCATAAATACTAACATTTATAAAAATTCAGTGAGGAGTTTTGCTCAGTAATAGGCTGGTTGGGGTAACAAAGACCATGACTAAAGACCCTAAAAATAACGGCAGTGACAAAAATTACAGTTTTAGTAACAAGTAAACAATGGATTTTCTAAAGATAAGTATTTTGTAGTGATGGAATGGTGAATAAAAAAAAATGTCTATTCAAAATCTAGAGTATATTCCAAACCCTATTATTCACAAATTTAAGGCAATTAAAACTGGAGACCCAAACTGATATACAGTGCCACTTTATAACTGGCACACCTGTCAGCCCTCTCATACAAGAGCTTTGCTGAATCTGCCAACTTGGGGAAGCTGGGTGGACCTCCTGCAGAATTTCTAAAGGCCTCCTATACAATTTATAAACTCTGCAGGGCTTTCTGGCCCTCTCATTTTGGCCTAGCCACAACTCTCTCTTTTGTTTTAGCAAGTTTATTCACCTCAAGTTTTCACATATCAAGGTTATACAAATTGTTTCAAAAGATAAGGAAATTTCCACACCAATAATTATTAAACCAGAGGTTAGACTGCAAAGACATCGCAATATTTTATGAAACAAATGTATTAAATCATTGTTGTTTTTAAAAGTTAGAAAGCCAGGATATTCTTAGTTAAGGCTGCACTTAAAATATAAAAAAATTCAAAGGTAAGGAACTGCAAGCTATCTTAACTCTGACCCTGATCCATGATCATCTATGCATATCATTTACTCACTGTTATGACTTGGTGGGATAATACACATGATTGGAATGTTGGTGTGGATGGGTATAGCTTGCTCAGGAAGGATAGACAGGGGAAAAAGGGAGGAGGTGTTGCCTTAAATATTAAAAATGTACACACTTGGACTGAGGTGGAGATGGACATAGGAGACGGAAGTGTTGAGAATCTCTGGGTTAGGCTAAAAGGGATAAAAAACAAGGGTGGTGTCATGCTAGGAGTCTACTACAGGTCACCTAACCAGGTGGAAGAGGTGGATGAGGCTTTTTTTAAACAACTAACAAAATCATACAAAGCCCAAGATTTGGTGGTGATGGGGGACTTCAACTATCCGGGTATATGTTGGGAAAATAACACAGCGGGGCACAGACTATCCAATAAGTTATTGGACTGCATTGCAGACAACTTTTTATTTCAGAAGGTTGAAAAAAGCTACTGGGGGAAAGCTATTCTAGACTTGATTTTAACAAATAGGGAGGAACTCGTTGAGAATTTGAAAGTAGATGGCAGCTTGGGTGAAAGTGATCATGAAATCATAGAGTTTGCAATTCTAAGGAAGGGTAGAAGGGAGAACAGCAAAATAGAGACAATGGATTTCAGGAAGGTGGATTTTGGTAAGCTCAGAGAGCTGATAGGTAAGGTCCCATGGGAATCAAGACTGAGGGGAAAAACAACTGAGGAGAGTTGGCAGTTTTTCAAAGAGACACTATTAAGGGCCCAAAAGCAAGCTATTCCGCTGGGTAGGAAAGATAGAAGATGTGGCAAAAGACCACCTTCGCTTAACCACGAGATCTTGCATGATCTAAAAAATAAAAAGGAGTCATATAAAAAATGGAAACTAGGACAGATTACAAAGGATGAATATAAGCAAACAACATAGGAATGCAGGGGCAAGATTAGAAAGGCAAAGGCACAAAATGAACTCAAACTAGCTACAAGAATAAAGGGAAACAAGAAGACTTTTTATCAATACATTAGAAGCAAGAGGAAGACCAAGGACAGGGTAGGCCCACTGCTCAGTGAGGAGGGAGAAACAGTAACAGGAAACTTGGAAATGGCAGAGATGCTTAATGACTTCTTTGTTTCGGTCTTCACCGAGAAGTCTGAAGGAATGCCTAACATAGTGAATGCTAATGGAAAGGGGGTAGATTTAGAAGATAAAATAAGAACATAACAAGATAAAAATCCCCTAGAAAAATTAGATTTCTCCAGG